ATTAAGTAATATCTAACAAATCCCAAACAAATCTATTATGGGATTTGAGTCACTATTCCCAACAAAATTTCCATATTGATGATTAATTCAATAGAAGATTGATCAATGTATCAAGTTTATAAACTGAAATCCTAAAATAAATGGATGAATTAGGAACCATGTCCCATGATTAAAAGGACATAAAATTATGTTCCAATCCCTGTGCACAAACTCAAACTTTTCCAAATAAAATTTACTAGAACTAGAGTATGATTCATAAAAATTACCTTATCATTTGAAGTAAATCAAGATGTGAGGATGTGGAGCTGCTGAGCTGTGCTGGGAATCCGTTCTACACCAATTTGACGGATAGAAATAATTAATGAGAGAAATGGAGATATCAATGTGGCACTTTCAATTATCAAAAACTCCATGAGCTTACAAAGAAGAATCTCACTTTTGTGCTTCAACATTTTTTGCTTCTTTTTCTTTCTGTCGATCTGTAAATTTAGAAAGAAATACAATTTAAAAGCACACTAAAACATATGCTCAGCTGTGAAGAGTGTAATAGACTTTGATTTATATAATTTACACATATCCATTTAATAATGATATAAATTTATATGGTTGTATGTAATGTTGAAATAATTGAAAAAGGCTAGGAAAAAAAGGCTTTAGTATAAAAAGATCTTGAACTAAAATTAAATAATTATCCAAACTTTTATTGTTTTAATGAAATTAATTAAATTCTTAAACATCTATTTTTATTCAATTGAGTCATTATTGGATGAAAATAAGTTAACCGTTATTACCAATTTCTATCCAGGGCTCAATTGAGTAAACTTAAATATTTAAAGGCTCAATTAAATGAAAATAAATATTTGACATTTCAATTGATTGTAACAAAACCCACAAGCTTGGAAACCAGTCAAAGCAACCCAAAAAGGACCTGGTCTCACACATATCTTTTTCGCGGATGATTTAGTTCTCTTCTCTTATGATTCAGATGATCAAATTGCGGTTGTCAAGAAGGTACTGGAGGAATTTAACCAGTGGTCAGGACAGACTGTCAACTTCTCCAAATCCAGAATTTTTGCCTTAAAAAACCTGTCCAAAGCTCAATCCAGCAGAATCAAATGCCAAACTGGTATTCCCCTAACACATGACCTTAGCAAATACTTAGGAGTCCCATTGATCCACCAAAAAATCTCGAATAAGACTTATTGGTACCTAGTTGAAAAAACTCACAACAAACTTGCCTCATGGAAAATTAACAAACTCTCTTTATCTGGAAAAGCTGTCCTGGTCAAATCGGCTACCTTTTTTATTCCCATTTATGCAATGCATATTGCCAAAATCCCTAGCTCAATTTGTGAGGAAATGGACAAACTTAACAGAGACTTTCTTCGGGGAAGCCCTAAAGAGCAGAGGAAGACACACCTTGTTAGTTGGGAGATTGTTTGCCAACCGAAAGCTAGAGAGGGACTTGGCATCAGAAAAGCCAGGGATATGAACATAACTTTACTTGCCAAATCGGGTTGGAGGCTCATGAATGACAGTGGTAGCCTTTGGAGTGAAATTTTGAAAAAAAAAATACCTCATGAATGCTAGTAATTGGGCTGTAATGAAGAACACCAATGTTTCTTGTATCTGGAGAGCAAAAATGGAAGGCTTTCCCACACTTATTGATGGTCTGAAATGGAGGTTGGGTAATGGTAACAGAATAGCCTTTTGGAAAGACAAATGGCTACTTGATGAAAATCTGATTCAAAAGTGTTTGCGAAATCTAACAATCGAAAAAGAAAATTGGTCTGTAAGGGAGTTCCTGCTTGATGGTAAATGGAATTTGGAAAAACTATATCAACGGCTCCCTGTTGAAATTGTGGAGAAAATCATGAATATCCCAGTTGGACAGAACCTTTCACAACAGGATAAAATCATATGGGCATTTTCTAAAGATGGAGAACTTCACCACAACATCGGCCTACATGATTGCCTCCCAATGTCGGTAATCCCACACCTCTGATATGAAAGGAATTTGGAACCTACCTACTCAACCGCGAAGCCAAATGTTCTTATGGCTTGCTGGTAAGAATAAAATCCTTAGCAACGAAAACAGAAGCAGAAGATCACTCTCTCCTAACACCACATGCAGCCTATGTGATGATGACAATGAATATACTATTCATATCTTGAGAGATTGCAAAGACTCTGATCAAATATGGCGCACCCTTCTGCCTCTCGACTACCCAGGCGAGTTCTTTTCTTTTAACTTGGAAGAATGGTTTACCCTAAAACTAAAAGAAAGGAAAAATCAACAGGTGGGCAACTGGGATTGGCCTATTTTGCTTGCTAATGTTGTATGGATGATATGGAAGTGGAGAAATAAAAACATCTTTAATAATACAACCATCCCACTGGTCTGCAAACTTGACACCATTCATAAATTATTGAGAGAATGGTACAATCTCAAGATTGATAGTGCCACGGATAAGAAAAAATAGGAAATTCTGCTTTCATGGGCCAAGCCACCTCTAGGTTGGGTCAAAATTAATAACGATGGCCGTTCGAACCAACCAGAGTGCAAAGCTGGAGCTAAAGAAGTGTTAAGGGGCGAATATGGAAACTAAATTGCAGGCTTTTCATGCTTTCTTGGTAATTGTAATATTGATGCTGTTGAACTTTGGGCCTTATTTCATGGAATTACTCTGGCAAAAAAGCTAGGGAATATTAGTGTTGAAATTGAATCGGACTCTCTCGTTTCTCTAAGAGATATTAAAGAAGGGGTTCGGCATAATCATCCACTTTATCATCTTGTTGAAGCTATTCAAGATGTGCTTAATGGTAGCTGGGAGTGGACTATTCACCATGTGCGTAGAGAAAAGAATTTTGCTGCAGATTTGATGGCCAAATGGAGTCTCAATCAACCTCCTGACTTGAATGTCCTTCATGAACCACCTTTTGGAATTAAAATGATCCTCAATGTGGATGCTGCTGCTGTGGCGTTCCCAAGCCGTATCCTTTGCCAATTAGGGTTTTGCCCCGTATCACACACAAAAGAAAAAAAAAATCGTGGGCTTTATGAGGACCAAACAAAAGTAAGAAAAAGAATGAAAAAAAAAAAAATCCTTTCTTTTTCTGTTTAATCAATTCATATTGTTTTTGTTTGCAACCTTATATACCATATCTTTTTCCAAATTTCAACTTTTTTATGCTAATTTTTGTTGTTTACTCAAATTAAAGATTATAATGGATCAAACCGAAATGAGTTTATATTAATTTTGGAGTTAATCCAACTCATTAATAATTTTATTTGATTCTGTATGGACCTAACATCATATTATTATTTTTTATATCCAACTCTGGCACATAGTTATAATTGACATTTGATTGGATTCGATCCAAAATTAATTTGATATTTTTAATTTAATATAATATTTATGAAAATTTTTTAATATAAATTACATCGGATTGCAAACTAATTATTGCACATTTTAATAATTATAAAACTATGAGGAATATAAGTTGGATTATAAGTATGAATCCAAATTTTTGTGAGCATCATAGAATTTGACATTGATAAAAAAGATTCATTGGGATTTTGACACGTTAGTTTAATATAAAGGATATATAAGTGTAAATTGGACAACTTTTACAAAAAAAATGGAACAATTGTCAAGACTGGAGATATCATCTCTGTTAGTGGGAAAGGAAGCCTAAATGTGAGTTGTTATAAGTTGAACGAAATCCTGCTGTCCAGTAAAAGTTCCTCTATCTTTTATTAATTTAACGTTCTGGTAATTATAGTTTTGTTTTACAAGATTGGAGAGATCAACAGTACAAGGAAGGGAAAGTTTGCTGTTGAACTCATTATTTGAACATTGCATTAACTGATCTACCTGATTTCTTCCAAAAGATACTCTTCTTCAATGCAGAGAAAAAAAAAAAAAAGAAATCATAGGTCAAGTAAATCTTTGGGCGAGTGAAATTATGTTTGATCTATACTTTTTTAATATATACTTGAAATAAATTCTATATATCCTTATATACCATATCTTTTCCCAAATTTCAAACCTTTTTTTATGCTAATTTTTGTTGTTTAGTCAAATCAGAAATTGCAAAGAATCAGGTCAAAATAAATTTATGTTTATTTTAAGTTTAACTTGATTCTTTAATAATTTTATTTGATTCTATATGAACCTGACACATATTATTATTTTTATATCCAATCCTAATACATATATGTATAAATCTAAAATAAATTTGATATTTTTAATTTAATATAATATTTACAATTTTTTTAATATAAATTACATCGGGTTGCAAAATTATCACTGCATATTTTAATAATTATAAACTGAGGAATATAAGTTGGATTATAAGTATGAATCCAAATTTTTCTAAGCATCTTAGAATTTGACGCTAAAAAAAAAAGATTCATTGGAATTTTGACACGTTAATTTAATATAATGGAGGTATACGTGCAAATTGGACAACCATTACAAAAAAATGGAACAATTATCAAGACTTGAGATATCGTCTCTATTAGCGGAAAAGGAAGACTAAATGTAAGTTATTATAAGTTGAACGAAATCCTGTTGTCCTGTAAAAGTTCCTCCACCTTTTATTAGTTTAACATTCTGGTAATTATAGCTTTGTTTTACAAGATTGGAGCGATCAACACTACAAGGAAGGGAAAGTTTGCTGTTCAACTCATTACTTGAATGCTGCATTAACTCATCTACTTGATTTCTTCCAAAAGATACTCTTCTTTAATGCAGAGAAAAAAAAAATCATATGTCCAGTAAATCTTTGGGTGATTATAATTATATATGATTCATATTTTTTTAATATTTACTTGAAAAAAATTCTATATATAGTGTAAGAAATATCATAATTTCACTAATTTTCAAAGCAATCCTTTTATTTTGTGATTAGGAACAAATTCTAATAAGAAACCATGGAAATTTTATACAAGGCAAATATAAACATACAAATTTATCATACATATTAACCCCTATACACACATGGAATGAAAGAGTCAAGAAAAGGAAAAATAAAAAGATAAAACAACTAAATCAAGGTTTATGATTACATTATGAAGAAAAGAACATAAGAAACAGAAAGCAATAGATGCTTCAACTTCAGCAATAGGGCCTGCAACCTTCTTCCCCTTTGTATGTATCTACCCAAATAGAAAAACCATATGATACTGGTAATACTTATATTTTATTATGCTATAAATACAGAAAAAATGAAATAAAAAAAAGATGAAATTAGATTTACAATTCCATAATTAAAAAAAAAACTCACACTAATACAAAAACTTGAGGAAGGGTAGAAGGACGTTGTTTGCATGGGGATGGTCCCACTCCAATGATTCCCACCATTCTTTGGGACCCAAGTAGATTTCCTCGAGAGAAGGTGGAGGAGATGGTTTTTCCTTATCAAGGTTGTCAAGCAGGGGAAGATACAGAGGAAACCGCTTTAGCTTTGGACAATCCATTATAACAATGCTTTGGAGAGAATCACAAACCATTACTCCATTTTTACTACAAATGCTCTTCAATTCTGGTAGATTTTCCAAACGCAATATCCTTAATTTGGGAAGAGCATATTTGATGGTACCCATTCCTTCTTCCTCTGATACTATTATTTTCTCCATTTCCTCACAACTTCGAACGGTGATCTCTTCCAAGTTGTGCAGAAGCCACTTAGCTGAGAACAAATTCTTTAATTTTCCACAACCTAATAGATGGAATTTTTTGAGGGAGGAAAATGTGCCTACTAAAACCTTCAAATTATGCAAAGCACTTAGATATAGAGACTCAAGTGTTTGAAGTTGACACCCCGATGGACAAATGGACTCCAACTCCTCACATTCCTCAATTCTACATTCCTTCAAATCAGTTGCATCTTCAAATCCACATATATCCTTTAAACTTCTCATACCTTTGCACTTGGTAACTTCTAATAGCTGAATATCATATGGAAGTATGATTCCATCTCCAGAATTAATATCACAACCCCTAAATTTAACCATTTTACTATAATCCATTCCAGGAAAAGAACTGTGACTCACGCAAATCAAGTATTTATGAAGCCTTTTTCTCTGACTAGCATACGTGTTCCAGTCACCCAAGTTACTAATAAAACCTTCAAAAACTTCCAACTTGTTCGATTCCCTTATCTCTTCCGCTCCTGTTGATGCTGGATGTATTGCCAAATACTGAAGACGACACAATTTCAACAATAATCCATTGGGGATCTCTTTTAACTTAACAGTAAATCCAAGATTGAGATATCTAAGATTTACCAACATTTCCAAACCTTGAGGGATTTCCTTGATTGAAGTTCTTCTAAGGTCCAATTTCTTCAAAGCTTGAAGCTTCGATAAAGATGGCAAATTTTTTAAACGGTAACAATCATGCAGCATCAATGCATTGAGATTCTCCAGATGAGAGATAGAATTCGGCAACTTTGTAAGAGGATTAAAAGAAAGATCAAGAATCTTAAGATTAGGAAAATGCCCAAAGAAAGATTCTGGAATTTCTTCCAATGAATTTCTTGAGAGTAACAAGGTTGTGAGCTTTTGACATATTGGAGACTTCATATTTGGAGGAATTGTTGAAATGGAATTGTACATCAAGGAAGCCTTCTCCAAATCTTCAGTCCATTCTTCTTCATTTGGTAGCTCTTTCAACTGCTTACCAGCTTTTACCAGAAAACCCTTTTTTGTGATATCCAATGCCATATCTCGAACAACATCATGCATCTTTATATGTGTAACTTCCCTAGCCCTTTCTAGCAAATAATTCTCTACGAGCTTCTGCAAAATAGAATAACCACAACCTTCCATTGCTTTTCTAGTTCCCATTTCATCTATAAGTCGTTCTTCCATCCAATATTCAATGATTTCCTCTTTTTTGATTTCATAATCTTCAGGATATAATGCACAAAATAGAAAGCAAGGTCGGTCATTTTGTCTTAGATGATCATAGCTGAATTTTAAACATCCAAACACCTTTTTTTGCACATCCTGGATGCTTCTGATGTAACCTCTCAACTCATTCAAGGCATTTTCCCACAGAAGAGGATCGGATATTCCCCTCATACAACCAGCTACTGTGACAATTGCAAGAGGAAGTCCATCACATTCTCCCACAATATCTTTCATAATTGGTTCTAAAGTTGGATCAGGCGACATGTCTTGTCCAACTTTGCTTACAAATAACTGCCAAGCCTCATCTGTAGAAAGACACGGCACTTGGACTTTCGTACAACCCATTGATCGAACAATCTCTTCTGAACGTGTTGTTAACACTAATTTGCATCCATTATCTGCTTTTGGCTCGGGGATCCCGACTTCCTCAAGAGAAAAGCAGCTCCACACATCATCCAATACTAGCACATAGCTTCCTTGTTTCCTCAACATTTCTGATAACTTTGCTGCACGTATGGTTGTATCTTCGTCATCTGACAACTCTTCCTTCAATTGACATGCAATTTTCTTTTGTAACCTTCGAATATCAAAGTCCTGGGATACAACTGTCCAAATTACTTTGCTAAATTTGGTTTCTTCCACCAATGTATTATGGACATGCTTCATTGTTGTTGTTTTGCCTATCCCTCCCATCCCACACACTCCAATCTTTCTAACTTCATCCCCCATCAAGTAGTGATAAATTTCTTCTGCTTTAGTAGTGCCTGCTAACTCTTCTGTTGGCAGTTTGACCTTTGTAGTTGAAGGATCATTAACCACCAAGCCATTAGAGAATTGACCTTCAGCATATATTTCCTTCATTGCTTGAGTCGCTTCATCAACAAGCTTCCCTAGGCAAGAACGAAAGAGATATTTCCCTTTACTGATTTTATCCTCAACAAATTGAGCATGACCAAGCTTCTCCTCTACTTTTCTGAACCAACTTTCAACTTCTTGCTTTGGATTTTTCCCAAAATGAAGCTCATCTTGCAATTGTTGTTGAATATCTGCCTCCCTAACTCGCAAATGTGCTTGAGCTTGTTTGAAATCATCCACATATTTCTTGAATTTTCTATGGTAATTAAGATATCTTTTAGCTGGACGGCCGATGAACTTAATAACTTCAAGGATTGGCCCAACAAGGTCAGACATTGTATTAACTTTAATGCCCCTGCATCAAAATTGCCATATTGATAGATTAATTCAAGAGTAGATTGATCAACGTATCAAGTTTATAAACTAAAGTTCTAACATAAATGGATGAATTAGGAACCATGTCCCAAGATTAAAAGGACATAAAATTATGTTCCAATCCCTGTTCACAAACTCAAACTTTTCCAACTAAAATTTACTTAAACTGCAGCATAATTCATGAAGGTTACCTTATCACTTGAAGTAAATCAAGATGTGAGGATGTGGAGCTGCTGGACTGCTGGGACTCGCTTCTACACCAATTCGACCGATGCAAATAATTAATAAGAGAAATATTGAAATCAACGTGGCACTTTCAATCATCAAAAACTCCAAGAGCTTACAAAGATTCCCACTTTTGTGCTTCAACTTTTTTTACTTCTCTTTTTTTTTTTTATCGATCTATAAATTTAAAAAGAAATACAATTTAAAGGCACACTAAGACATATGCTTAATTGTGAAGAGTTTAAAAGACTTTGATTTATATAATTTAATTACACATATCCATTTAATAATGATATAAATTAATATGTTGGCATGTAATGTTGAAATAATTGAAAAAGACTAGGAGAAAAAGGCTTTAGTATAAAAAAAAGTTTCTGAACTAAAATTAAATAATCATTCAAACTTTTATCATTTTATAGAAATCAATTGAGTTCTTAAACATCTGTTTTCAGTCAATAAAGCCATTATTGGATGAAAATTGATTAACCGTTATTATCGATTTTTGTCCAATTAAAAGTTCAATTGAGTGAAAATAAATATTAAGGGTTCTATTGAATAAAAATAAATATTTGAGAGCTCAATTGATTGTAATAAAATGATAAAAATTTAATTGATTGTTTATCTGTACAATGGAACATTACGTTTGTTCTTCCTTTTTTTTTTTGTTTTTTTTTTAACATAAATAAATGCTGTAAAATTAAGGCGAAATTCATTGAAGCAGTTAATTGTTGAAGCATATAATTACCTGAATAGGCAGTCTTGTAAAGTTTGTGGATTCAGTGTTGCAATTGCAAAGGCTCTTTCCTCTACTCTGTTTCTACCGCTTCAAGAGAGTTACAGCCAAAGCAAGTCTTATGGTTAATAAAAATGAAGAACTATGTCTTTTTTTTTTTTTTTTTGGAGGTAAAAGTACTTATGAAAATAGAAATTAAATTAAGAAAAGGAAACTGAAGAGCAGTTTTTTTTTAGTTCACAGAAAAATGGAAAATAGAAATTATTTAATCAACTAGTAAAAGAGAATTGAAAAGCTAGGCTTTCTTTTTAGTCTTTTTTTTTTTTAAGAAAAAAGAACAAGCTGGAAATTATGAAAAGAAAATCGATTGGCAGCTTCGTCTTTATATATCTAGATACACTAAATTGAAAATCAAGGCTGAAATTTAAGGAAAAAAAGTCCTTTTCTCCTTTTTTTTTTTTTTCCCTTTTGGAGTTATAATAGAAATTAGAAAAGGGGAGCAGAAGTTGCTTGCACAGTTTAATTATGCATTATTTATGGAACTAATCTTATACCATAATGAATCCTATATGTCCCTTGTGACCCTTGTTACTTCACTTGGAAAAGTTTAGAACTTAGATGATGCATTATAAATCAATCATAACATGTAGAGACTACAAATATGCAAATTTGATTTAGTTTGAGTTAGATCATTTTAAGTAAATACAAATCATGCTATTTCAAGTTCATATCAATTCAAACTTGAATCTATTTGAGTTCAAATCATTTTAGGTTAATTTGGGTTTAATTTTTATTTCAGTTTTGGGTTTTTGATCTTTAGGTCATTTGGATTTAACACTCATGTTATTTAGTTCCAATTTGTTAATTTTTAAAATTAAATAGATTGTATTTGAATGGATTATTTAAGTGAAGTTCAAATTTATCAATCTTTAATTGAATTATTTAAGGTTATATTTTTGTAAATATATGGCATGACATACTGATATAAGTGATACCTTTAATTTATATTTTCATTATTATGAAAATATTTTTTAAAAATAAATATAATTAAATTATATAAAAATTAAAATGTCAAAGTTAAATGAATTAAAAATCATTTGCAAATATAAAATTATATAACATTAAATATAAAATTAACTTTATTTATGACAAAAATTATTAATGATTTTTTATTGATACTTAATATTTATTTTTAATTTTTATGCATAATTCATATTAATATATAATACAATCATATTCACCTACATTACTCATTAGTGTGTATTGATTAATGGGACTAAATCTTCATCCTTGGTAAAATATTTTGGTTATTTTTATATGCACTCGCAACATATTTAATATATGTATCCTTAAAATCTCCTGGTTTGGTGGTATTAATTTCTTTTTGTTTAGGATTATTTGTTTATATGTTATGTCATATATATATATATATCTATATATATCGATTTGATTCTACATAACTTTTGTAACATCATCATTATTATTGAATTTGGGTTAAGTTTTCAGAAAATATTGAAGGAGCAGAAGCTTTGTTCTGTTTTCCCATTGTAGAAAAAGATACACAAAATTTGCTGCAATCTAGAATAGAAATTTAGTATGGATTTTTATTGAATAAAGTATTGCAATCATTTTATCTTTCAATTTAAAAGAGAATAATCTTTGTGAGATTACTTTTGGATAGTGAAAAAAATTAAGGAAATGCTAACATTTTCAAAAAAATAAATAAATAAAATAAATAAAAGATGTTAAATTTTTAATTTCAAAATTATATGAATGTATCATTTACACAAATTATTATTTTTGTATCTTTCAATTTTCGAATTCAGACTATTTGTCATGTAGGTAATTTTGATTGTAAGACAACACTATAATGGAGTCTTCAGTGCATAAATTTTTAGTTGAAATTGTAAGTTTTTCCTTTTCCTTCTTTAACAAATACTGGTATTTATTTATAAAAAAAGAAGTTATTTTTCCAAATATAGATAAATAAAAAAAGTGCCTTACGAATCTTTACAAATTAGGAACAATTGTTCGTCAATATATATTATAATTTTTAATTCATTCAATAAAAATAATTTTTTAAAAAAAGATTTAAGTGAAATTGATTAAGTGAGGTTTAAAAAATAAAAATTTTTAAGTAAAACTATGTTTAAGATATATACATAAGACTCAAAACTCATAAATTGACCTAACTTACATTAACTGTATAAATATTTTTAATATATGAAATTATTTAACTATTGTTTTAATTAATTCTTATTTATATTAAAACAATTTAACTCTTTTTTTGGCCAAAAGGTAAACAATTCTACTAATTTAATATAGTACTTGATTTTAAATAGTAAATTTCTCGAATAATTACATTTTTGTAATTTTTTACGAAAAACAAACAAAACGACAATGGCTGCTGCCAATGTAACCGCACCATATGCCAATTTTTAGAAGAAATTAAAACCGTATTATTTGATTATAGATTAAAGTTTGTATTATACAAGTAAATTAATGGAAGCTGCTATCAATTGCACCTCTGCACATGAAGGGTTCGTTCAATTCGAATTAGCTCAGGATAATTTTGGATTTTATGTAAGATTAACAATTTCAACATGATATTTGGATCCGAAAAGTTTTAATTTTAGATTACTTTGAGTTTGAATAGTTTTGAATTTTAATTATATGGGGTTCAAATTTTTTTTTTTGAGTTTGCTTGTTTGACTTTTTAATCAATTATGCATGTGTTTGTTTGCCATTTTATATTTTGAATTGTCATTTTGATGCATAATTTGTTTTAAAATTTATAATTAAGTGATAATTTTTTTGCTAAAAAAGAGGTAATAATAATATAATTTGAGACACATATATGATAAAATAAAAATATCATAAATGTTAGACATTCATTTTATTATAAAATTCATATCTAACTCATCAAATCATTAATAAGATATAATAAATAAAAATTGTGAAGTTATAATATATATATATATATATATATATTTATATATATCTTAGAGGTTTAGTTCTGTAGGCAAAGAATAGATAATAGTTTATAAAATTTTGTACTTTTATAATTTATTAATAATAGAATTCTTTATTTATTTCTTTATGTATTTTTATTGACTAAAATAGATTGACTTGATTTCATATAAAAAAGTACAAAGGCATCTTGCTTTGCTTTGCTGCAAATTCTTAACTTAATGCCTATTCCAGGTCTACTATTGAACACTGCTACTGCTTGTAGAAAGATCAACTGCATAAGCTGCAATTGTTGAGTTGGAACAAAAATTTGAGGTTTCAAAGAAGTTAAATTTGGTTTTTCTTTTTTTTTTTTTTAATTTTATGTTAAGAAATACAATTGTAGTTGTCATTTAAGTATTAGACATTTGTTTTTATTTGTACACTTAATTACGACTTTGTTTCTCTGTTGTACTCTCTGTTTAAAAAATTATAATTGTTATATGTTCTTTGAGCAAAATGTATTGTAATTAATGACAAAATGTATTCTTATTATGTTAATAATAATTTTATTATTTTTTGACCAATTGTTGCATTTAAACAAAATGTTAGGATTAGTATTTACTACAATAAAGAATAAAATATTAATTTATATAGTTGAAATATATTTTTTAATTATATTTATGAATAAAATAATATATGAAATGATTTTATGATTAGCAACAATAAAGTTGTTGCAACAAGTATAAAGAAATTTTAAAAAATATTTATGTAACAATAATGGTCATTGCTACAATTAATTAAATTAATTGATTGTGTTAAAAATTTTGCAATGATAAAATTTACTGTTAAAAATAAAAAATCATTACAAAAATAATTTTACCAATGACAATAATAGATATGTAAAAGATTTTTCAATGATTATAGTCGTTGTTATAATTATTTAGCAAAATGACTAAAATCATAATGCTAAAAGTAATTAGAAACTAAATAAAATTAAGTGGCAAAATATTATAAAACAACCAAAATAATATTTTTATGTAAAAGGATTTTG